TGTCGATTCCCCCACTCGACATGGTTCTCAAATATCTTCCCTTGAGACACAGCTTTCTCAAGTATTTCTATTGCTTCTGTGTTTGTAACACGCTCAAACGGAGTCGTGGCAACACTTTTTAGCCTCTCGATGCATCCCTCGTCGGCATTCTTGGCCATATATATACTCCATGTCATTGATGTTGTTCTCACCAGCACCTTCGCAATCACTTGTTGTGATGGATAGTGAAGTATCTCGATCCGTTGTAAGATATCTTATAGGAGGCTATAAACACCTCATCTTTCTCTTGTTGTAATCAAGTCCAGAAAAAAAGTTGAAACGAGTGAATTATATAAGTAACTTTCAAAAAGAGTGTTTGAGGTCTTTAAATTTCTTTCAGAATCGTTCAAGTATCTCCAAGTGGTTTTTCATATTTATTTTCAGTTTAGAGTTTTTTTTTTTTTTGTGGTAAAAAAAGAATGTAGCGACTTGTTCGAGGCCACGATCGCTTTGCCTTCGAGTTGTAAAGAAGAAAGTCAGGAATGCAACGATAACTTCGTGGATCAAGATTGCAGAAAATATATATTGTGGAGGGTTGTCTTACAAAAATGGTGTTTGCATTATATCCGAAGGACTTATTCCTCCTAAAGTTCCTACATATTACAGATGTTATTGTTCTTAATATGCAATTAATTCTTTCTCTTATTTTTATCAAATATTGTGTTAAATAAACGTCTTTTTCAATGAGAAAACATTGTTTTGAATGGACGAATTGAACATCACATAAATAAGCTAAGATGAAATCTAAAAATTCTATAGAAAAGTATAAATATTCGTTTTGGTTATCAGTTTTGAATTGGAAATTCATGTAATTTTTTGCAATATCTATCTATTCATCAAAAGAAACCGGAGTTGCTTTTCAAGAAATCGGAGAAGCATATTCTAGCAGGGGTTTAATTCCGCAAGGAGTGAAGTACACACAGTGAAACACTCAACTTGATTCAAGTTAAAAGTATGGGAATTACGTAAGCGAAAAAGAAAATTATGCATCTTTCTTTTTATTAGGTTTCGTTATTTACTGTACGTTGTGAGTTTCCACGCGTTTATATATCTTAAGTATTTATATATATATATATATATATATATAGTATGCGTCTAAACATTTTTCGTATTATGTCAGTTTGTTCATTGTTATTTGGCGCGGGTTTCTATATCTAAAATATTTGATGTAGAAAGAAAATTTGTTTCTGATCTCTCTCACGTTTACTTCTTCTTCTTCTTCTCTTGTTTTTGGGATGATTTGCAGAGAATAGATCACCATCGATCTATTTATAGGAGGTAGTTGAGAGTTGCTGGGACTAAATTGTTGACAAAACAAACTTCTCCTTTTGTTGACTTTTGTACCACCACCATTTCACCGTACATTGTGAAACACATGTTTTTTAACAAGAACTTATCATCCTCATATGGAGACTATTGTTGGATAAAATCTTGCATATTTAGTTAGGCGCAGCGTTGTTCTCTTCTTGTCGTGGAGAACTGAAGCTCGAAAGTAAGGCAATGGAGAAGCGACCGGTGAGAGGTAAATCAAGAGTTGCTAGTGAACTTTGACTCAGCAAACATACACATACCTCTCTGAGTTGGTCCGGTCATCATTTTCAGTGTTGGTTGTGGTTGAGAGAAGAATTTGGGCAAAACAGAAGTGGGTGTATGTACAGTTAATGAAACGCCACGAAGAGAAGCTTCCAAGAGATCTAATGTGTGGAGGAGATTATCGGAAAACTCTAAAACAGTTCGCTGACATTGAAGATTGAGAACAAGCAAGCTCCCCTTCATACCTATTTTGATGCAAATATGATCTAGATTCAATGTTTCTCTCATCTTATTGATTTGCAAGTATTCTTTTATTGTACCAAACAACAAACCCTAATGGTTTGCAGTGAAATTTCTAGTAGGTTTATTATTGAAAAATAAAAATTGATAAGATCATAAGAATCTCTCGTATGGTTAATTTATACGAGTAAAATGGTATACATAACATGGAATGGATATGGTCATGGCCTAAAGGCTATAAGCTTATTTATAATGTTTTGAGGTCATGACGCTACCCTTCATACGTTGATTTTTGTAGTGAACTTCATTTTATTGCATATATTCTCTGCAATAAACTCCATGTCATCCTAACATTTTTCAAGCAACCACTTGTACCTGTATTTCACATATGCCTCTGCGCAGTTCATATCGTCCTACATGTACACAAAATTATAACCAAGCCAGTTTCTAAGGATACTTTGCAGATATTGAAGGAATAGTCAAATGATTTTATTACCTCAAGATCAGCAGAAGCTATTTCAGCCTCAACCATCCAGAAGTCAGCAAGATGCCTTGAGGTGTGAGAGTTCTCTGCCCTCAATTTCGGAACAAGCAGAGCTTTCCAGTTGTAACCGACCAGAAACTAACAAGAAAGCTTTACGGCCGAAGAAATCTTGGCAACAATCGATTTTCCCATCTTTTTCAGGCAACACATACACACACTTGCTCATCAATGTTGTTACTTGGAAGATCTCACCAGCACCTTCGCAATCACTTGTTGTGATGATGATAGGAGTGTGGATTTGTCGAAAACCCACTTCACCAAAGAATCTGTGTGTCGCCTTTCCAAGCTCATCTCGGATACTTTCAACAGGAAAACAAATGTAACATAAGATACAAGTCACATTTTTGAAGAACGTACTAATTTCACCACGAAGGAAAACAAAACTACACATGCAGGAACAACTGTTTAATTCAATCTCATTGGGAGGAGACAGGAAGTTTTACTAAGTTGGTCGTTGCACGAAGATGAGGATAGTCTCTCAAATATGTTAGACTCAGATTCTTCTTATCAATCGGGTAATCCTTATCCACCGTCCCCACAGAAATCACCTTCTCGACGCTAAGCTCAGTCTTGTGCTTCATGCCTTTACCTTCCGGCAGAATCTTCAAATATCCATCAACGACAACAGAAGTTCCCGCAGCAACCAGCTTGGAGAGATCGTACACAGAAGCTTCCACCATAACCTGAAGGCTCGCTGGACAGTACCCATCCTTCACCTCGAGGAAAGTGAAAGTCCTTTTCCTTGCCCCCTTCCTGTTTTAACATAGGTTTTAACCCACCCGGAGATTCGGACCTTCTGGCCGGCAAGTCCAGCTCCGCCGTCGGGTCGACCCAAAATCGATTTAATAAGGACACGATCTGAAAACCGCTCTTTTTTCATCGTGGAAGACGAGGCTGCACCGTTGCTTGATCTGCTGGCTGCTGAATCTCATCACCCATTGTTCGTAAGCTTCACTGGTGGTGAATTGTGGGGATGATAAAAAATAAAACCCTAAGCTTGTTGCACACGGTATTGAATGTCTAAGAAGAACTAAGGGTCTACCTATTTTGCTTTTTACATGGG